CATCACTATGTGACGAGTAAGCATGGAGCTGGCTTTCTGGCCAATCAGGAAGCTGGGCGCCGTGTAATGACGCAACGCCCGGCTTCCTGATTGGACGGGAAGCCGGCTTCATGCTTCCTCGTCACGAGGTGACGAGGGAGCATGAAGCCGGCTTCCCGGCCAATCAGAGAGTCATTACACGGCGCCCAGCTTCCTGACTGGCCAGCTTCCCAACCAATCAGGAAACCGAGCAGGGAGTAATTACACGCTGCCTGGCTTCCTGATTGGCCGGGAAGGCGGCTCCATGCTCCCTCGTCAAGTGTAATGATTTGCTGCCCGGCTTCCTGATACCAGAAGCTCGGGTATCGCGCTAGACATCGAAGCATTTGGGCGAGAACGAGTACTCGCCCAAATACTCGGCACCGATACCTATACTAGTATCGGTATCAGTGCATCCCTAATGCGTGTGAATGGGTGACGTGGCTGTGTCTGACTGCGGTTAATTCAAAAAACAGCAGCAACCTGCGAAGAGAAGAAGGCTGAGATTCAGGTAAGGGGGGCTATATGGGGTTAGGGGTTTCAATATAACCATGTTCCATGTTTAATCCTGAACTATGGGTGTGAAGCATGATATAAAAGGTAAATGTGGCCTTTAATATAGTAAAAACAAAACATCTAGAAGAGCAAACATTTGAATTTCTATTACATGTTGCATTTAAGATAAACATGATGACAATAACTCAAAATATAGCACACACTGGTATGTCAATGTTTTCCCTTTAACATTGTTTCAGAAGAAGCTGTTTATGAAACGTTGGATCTCCTTCCACTCCAGACACAGCACCAGATCTACCATGAAACGTCCCCTTTCTCCTCCACCCTCTCTCTGGGGCTGCCCAGTAAACAGGAGCCTTGTGATTGTGACTCTCACAGGGCAGGAATGCCGGATCCCAGTTCACATGTAATATGCTTACAAAACAACCTTCTTATCCTTTTCACTGGGAATGGACATGAGGCTGCGGTGTCATTTCAGATTCAGGACATGAAGTGAGCTGCAATATCCTGACTCCTCTAAAACTTCAGAAGAGCTGAAAGGCAGCCAATCTGTCATCTACGAGGCACTTATATTATTTTCCTAGTCCTGAAATGAAAGTAACACATGATCTCCCACAACACGGATGCACAGCGCGCTAAACATAGCAAGAAGGGGATTTATTTTGAGAGTCAAAGGCATCAAGAACAGCCGGTGAAATTTCTGTCACTTTGCTGCAGAAAAAGTATATCTTACGTTGGCCGCATGCACGTGGGTTTTTTGTTCAATTGATCGGCGGTCGATTTCGCAATAAAAACACAATTCGATCAATTTTAGAGTGAAAAGATTATTGGTAAAAGTCAACAACAATAATAAGAATCAATTGTTCATTATACCACACGACTGGCTCAAAGGTGCTTGATATTGCCAATCCATCCAATCCTGGATATACTCCCACAGGCCAATTCTATTGCTCCTAATTGCTTCTTATTCAGAAAGTCTGTCCCACTTTTGAAACAAAATCCTTCTGTCCCTCTTTTTTGGGTTTGAGGTATTGACGTTTATACAAAAAAAATATATACTATTTAACTACCAAAAATGCACCAAACCTTTCATTCATCCTCTAAATCATCCATTCTCGCCCAGGGTTCCATAGAACCCTAGGGTACCTCCAAAAGTTGCTAGGGGTTCCTTGAGCTGTGACTGATTGACCTCCCATCTGATGGTGCATGGATAATTCCAGGGCTAACGCCACTTGGCAGATCTTTTAGTTGTCTGAAAGGGTGGCATGCTCACCAATACTGTAGGAGGAGCAGTCTTCCCACTGATCAGGAGGAGTAGTCTTCCCACTGATCCCTAGGGTAAGAGGCATTCTTCCCACTGATCACTGGGGTAAAAGGCATTGCTGTCACTGATCACCGGTGTAAGATGCATTCTTCCCACTGATCACTGAGGTAAAAGGCATTCTTCCCACTGATCACCGGGGTAAAGGGCATTCTTCCCACTGATCACCGGGGTAAGAGGCATTCTTCCCACTGATCACCGGGGTAAAAGGCATTCTTCCCTACTGAGGTAAAAGGCATTCTTCCCACTGATCACCGGGGTAAAGGGCATTCTTCCCACTGATCACCGGGGTAAGAGGCATTCTTCCCACTGATCACCGGGGTAAAAGGCATTCTTCCCACTGATCACCGGGGTAAAAGGCATTCTTCCCACTGATCACCAATGAAAGGGCAATTCTTCTCAATGACCAGCAAGGTAGGATGCATTCTTCCCACTGACCACCAAGGTAAAAGACACTCTTCCTACTGACCACCAAGGTAAAGGGCACTCTTCCTACTGAACACCAAGGTAAAAGGCCTTCTTCCCACTGACCACCAAGGTAAAAGGCCTTCTTCCCACTGATCACCAAGGTAAAAGGCATTCTTCCCAATGATCACCAAGGTAAGAGACATTCCTCCTATTGACCACCAATGTAAGGGGCATTCTTCCCACTGATCACCAAGGTCAGTGGGCCTTCTTCCCACTGATCACCAAAGCAAGAGGCATTCTTCCCAATGATCACCAAGGTAAGAGACATTCCTCCTATTGACCACAAAGGTAAGAGCCATTCTTCCCAATGACCACCAAAGTAAAAGGCCTTCTTCCCACTGACCACCAAAGCAAAAGGCATTCTTTCCACTGACCACCAAGGTAAAAGGCCTTCTTCCCACTGACCACCAAGGTAAAAGGCCTTCTTCCCACTGACCACCAAGGTAAAAGGCCTTCTTCCCACTGACCACCAATGTAAGGGGCATTCTTCCCACTGATCACCAAGGTCAGTGGGCCTTCTTCCCACTGATCACCAAGGCAAGAGGCATTCTTCCCAATGATCACCAAGGCAAGAGGCATTCTTCCCAATGATCACCAAGGTAAGAGACATTCCTCCTATTGACCACAAAGGTAAGAGCCATTCTTCCCAATGACCACCAAAGTAAAAGGCATTCTTTCCACTGACCACCAAGGTAAGAGGCATTCTACCTATTGACCACCACAGTAAAATACATATTTCATATTGACCACCACGGTAAAAGGCATCCCTCCACTTACCACCTAGGTAAGAGGCATTCATTGACCCTCAATGAATGTATTTGAGCCGGGGTTCCACTGTGTGTATCAGTCCACAGAGAATTACAGGTAGTGAGTCACCTATCCTCAAACAAGTCGTGCACCTGGATTTGCCGAGATCTTCCATTGTTAGCCGGCACCTTGCACGCAACAACCTTATTGAGAAATAAGGCTGAATAATCAAACACTTTCTGGGAGTGACCCAGAACAGAGTTGGGAACTAAGGAGCATATATCTCATTGGTGAAATATCCAAGACTCATGAGACGCCGGGAGGCTCCACCAACAACTAATATTGCCTCTGGCAGAACGACCCCTAAATATAACTTTCTTAGAGATATTCAAGTACTTCCAATGGGGATATTGCAAAGATGAATTGGGAGCTTTGCCCAAAATAAGGCAGGCAGACTACAAAGGACTAGTCCCCAGTACTGCCTGTGGCCTCCTTGACTATTGACTTACCATGACTTGTCCTACACTGTGTCTCTGTGTGAAGGCGACCATCTTGGTAGAGGCAAGGCTTTGCTTCCTCATGTCAGAGCCTCCAGCAAGGAGAGCAGTGAGCAACACAGTAGTGATGTCCCCAAATCTCACTCCGAATCTCCTAGACTAGCAGTCAGTAGCAGCGGTGCCTTAGATCTCACGCTGCAGACATACAGCTCTGCCTAGGCACACTCATACACCAGGAAGTGCACTGCTGTATTTCAGGGGGAATCACAGACAAAGGGAGAATCTTTCAGGGCACATTGAACACTTCTAGATGTTCCTAATAATATAAAAAAATCTCCACTTGTCAAGTTCCACTTAAAAGCTTAATTCTGGTCATTTAAAATACAGTCCCTCTGCCTTGGCACCCCCCTGTACTGAAGGGGTTAAACGCCTTGTTCTTCGCTCTGTTCATTTATGCAACTGGTCCCCTGAAGCCTTCTTCTCTAAGGTGCCCCAGCCGGTGGTCACGCGCCGATGTCATTAAGTACCAGGCATTAAGTACATCAAACGTTCTGCACTGTGCATCAGGATGGCCAGAGACTGCCCACAACGCGGAGCATCAGAGAAAGAAGGAGGAGCTTGTCAGAGCAGAGGAATAAGGTAAGTACTGCAGCTTATTCCTCTGCCCCCTAGACCTAAAGAAGAATATATATATATATATATATAACCTTTGCAATGGGGCTAGCCCTTCACTGCAAGGGTTAAGTGTTCATTTTCATCTAGGAATGAAAATAATGAAGATGGACTCACCCGAAGCTTGGAGCCAGCTGGCTGCTAGACCAGGCCCCGCAGCTCCAGCCATGGAATGTCCCTCAGGGTCCTCACATCCTATACACTGTATTCACTCACAGCACCTTAGACCATTGGGGCAGAGGAGGAGACAGGCTGCAGGGACCGGTCTTACAACCAGCTGGTTCTGAGGATCGGGTGAGTATATCTTTATTGTTTTCATTCCTAGACAAAAACGGGCAGTTAACCCTTGCAGTGCCGGTTACACCATAAGGGTAGTTTTTTTTTATAGGCTTTAAAGAGCATTTAACCCTTGGGGGGGAGGGGGTGTATTTTTCTACAATCTCAGAGAGACAATTTAAGCCAAGATGCTATGATTATTATTATTATTATTATTATACAGGATTTATATAGCGCCAACAGTTTGTGCAGCGCTTTACAATATAGGGCAGACATTACAATCACAATACAATTCAAGACAAGATGGTAAGGAGATCAGAAAAAGAAAACTCCAGGGGCAAGCCCTGGCAATGCCCCTGCAATGAAGAATGCCATGGCACATGAGATCAGGGACTTTTCCAGGGACAGATGGGTGTTCCATAAACTTGTATCTGAGTGTCCCTGGGAGAAGTGACAGGTCAGGGCAGCGCTGCCATGTGTCTTACCCTTGATGCTGACCCCCAGACCTCCAGCCTCCTGCTTCACCACCCTGACAGTCCTCCGCAGGTTGACGATGGAGTCCGGGACCCCTCCAGCCGGATCCCCCCCATTCACCGCTTTCTCCTCGGGTGCCCCGCTCTCCGGCTCCGGGGTGAAGCTCAGAGTCTCCTCGCCCAGCAGAAGCAAGATCCGGCTCCAGAGCTCCCCGGGGCTCCGCAGCTCCAGCAAGCCGCTCCTGGCAGTCCTAGCTGGGGAAGCCATGGTCAGTGAGCCCGGAGAGGGATTGATGGAAGGGAGGGGGAGACAGAAGGGAAACCTCTCCGGGAAGGGAGAGGGAGGAGGGGGGGACAGGAGGAAGACCTCCCTGGACCGGAGCTGGGAACGCCCATACCCAAAAATTGCCACCTAATCGGAGCGACATAAGAGGACATTGTATGTAAAGAGGCAGAAAGGGTCATTCTGAAGTCATAACCTCTAACAGGTCCGCTCTGTCCCTCTTTCCTCCATAGATGGCCCTCTTCTTTAGACTCACTCATGTATAGACCATATGTGGAAAAAGTAATCCCTCATACTCCCAACTATCCCTCAAACATCCCGACTGTCCCTCATACCCCCCAACTGTCCCTCATACATCCCGACTGTCCCTCATACCTCCCAACTATCCCTCATACCCCCCAACTATCCCTCATACCCCCAACTATCCCTCAAACATCCCGACTGTCCCTCATACCTCCCAACTATCCTTCATACCCCCAACTATCCCTCATACCTCACAACTGTCCCTCATACCTCCCAACTGTACCTCAAACATCCCAACTGTCCTTCATAGCTCCCAACAGCCCTTCATACCTCCCAACTGTCCTTTATACATCCCAACTGTCATACAAAAAAGGACAGAAGGGCGCCCAACCTAAGACCCCGTTCACATATAGCGACATACCTTTGCAGCGGCCGGGATAGCGCGACTTTCGGGGCGGCGTTCCAGCGACGGTAGCGCGGCCTTCTCCGTCGGGCTCCATAGAAAAAAAGCGAAATCGCGCAAAATCCGCCGAAAAAAGGGTCCGGTAGAAGCGACTTGCGACCGCGACGAGCGACGCGCGACATGGAGTTAAGACAGCTCCATTGAATAGCATTGGCCGGCGACTTCTCGCGATATCGCACGGCAAAAATGCGCGATATCGCGGCGGAAATCGCGTGACAATTAGCTATATGTGAACGTGGCCTAATGGAGATTATTTTTTATTTTAAAAGACACAAAAGTAAGAGTGCAAAGGTACTCACAATGGTAGGTCAAATAACAGCTTGTATAGAAGATTTCAAAGAAATAGCAGTTTCAGGACTGCAATCAGCCTGTGTGCCACTGTGTTGTGGCGTCATTGACGCGTTTCCGGGGTCACGCCCCCTTCTTCACACCTCCCAACTGTCCCTCATAGCTCCCAATTGTCCTTCATACTTCCCAATTGTCCCTCATACCTCCAAACTGTCCTTCATACCTCTCAACTGTCCTTTATACCTCCCAACTGCCCCTTATACCTCCCAACTGTCCCTCATACCCCTCAACTGTCCTTCATGTCTCCCAACTTTTGTTCATGCCTCCCAATTGACCGTAATACCGCCCAACTCTCCCTCATACCTCCCAAGTGTTCTTCATACCTTCCATTCTCCTTCATACCTCCCAACTGTCCCATACCTCCCAACTGTCCCATACCTCCCAACTGTCCTTCATGCAAGAATAAGGTATGCTGGTAAAAAATTTTTAGGATGTACCATACCGCCCAATGTTCTGAGATGAGAAAGAGGCACACCTTCCAGCACAATGTATTTAGGCGATGGACACACCCTACCACAACGCACGTTAACGAGGGCTACCTGGTTGTATCCCAATGGATAAGCGCGGCAAATACGCCCTAAAGAAGCTCCTGTACTTCTTTGGGCGTTTTGCAGCGCGTTCCTACGCGCTTTAAAACGCCCAGGTAGGAACCATGCCCATAGGCAATCAATGGTTTTCACATGTTGAGCGTTTTACAGAGCGTAGGAACGCGCTGTAAAACGCCCAGGTGTGAACCAGGCCTAAATGAGGGATAGTTGGGAGGTATAAGGGATAGTTCCTCCAAATGAAGGACAGTTGAGAGGTATGAGGGACAATTCCTCAAATGAGGGAAGATGGGAGGTATGAGGGAGAGTTCCTCTAAATCAGGGACAGTTAAGAGTTATGACAGTTCCTCCAAATGAGGGATAGTTGGGAGGTATGAGGGACAGTTCCCCCAAATGAGGGCAGGTGGGACGTATGAGGGAAGAGTTCCTCTAAATGAGGGACAGTTAAGAGGTATGAGAGACAGTTCCTCCAAATGAGGAACAGTTGGGAGGTGTGAGGGACAGTTGCTCCAAATGAGGGACAGTTGGAAAGTATGAGGGACAGTTCTTCCAAATGAGGGACAGTTGGGAGGTATGAGGGACAGTTCTTCCAAATGAGTGACAGTTGGGAGGTATGGATGCACTGTATATGCCAACACAAAGCAAAGTGCTTCCTGTAACGCCTAGCCTGGGTAAAATTCTGTAGGCCAATTGATGTTCATTGCTTTCATGGTGCCCACTACACCTCCAAAACCTCAGCATCGGTCATGCAGGCCTAGTACATACTTTTGGGCCTTGTTCCTTTATGAAGAAAGCTTGACTCAGAGTGTGTCCAGTACGTCATCCAGCTTTACCTTTTCGGAACCCAAAAAACAACATTTACTTGATGGTTTTGTTTGGAGTCTTCTATATATATATATGACGCTTGCTGATGGATTCCCTGGCGTCCGTAAACAAAATATCATTTACAGCAATAACCTGCCAGTCTTTTGTTCCGTGTAAATGGTACACAGCAGGAAAAAAGGTCAAGAGGGCCGAACTGTCAACTGATAAGTTACAGCAGCTGTACCTTTTCTTTTAATTAACATACTTTCCCGAATCCCGGTTACCAAGGATGTTTCCTATCCACTGCATCTAAATGGTTACATTGTATGAAGGAGCTTCTAGTAAACATTGCTAAATATTTACACAAAAGTACCCAGACCTGTCAGAATTGGAGATATGTCATATTTCTGTGCCATTTGTATCAAAATGGACCACCAATGAAAAGGTCCGCTTACTGACAGCCCCTCCAGCCTATCAAATACAAATAGAGAAATGTTACATTGCAGTGAGGCTACCCCCTTACTGCAGTGGCGTCACAAGGGGGGTGCAGCCCGCACCCGGGTGACAACATTGGAGGGGTATTTGAAGAACGTCACCAGCACACCAAATTAATTACTGCATCAAATGTTCATTTATTGTCATCTGCCGTCTCTTGGTTGCAAGCGCTTTTGAGGCCACGCAGGGTCCCCTTCATCAGGCTCAGAGATGATCCCCTGATGAAGGGGACCCTACGTGGCCCCAAAAGCGCTTGCAACCAAGAGACGGCAGATGACAATAAATGAACATTTGATGCAGTAATTAATCTGGTGTGCTGGTGACGTTCCGCAGTCATTTCGAAAACTCGTCTGTATATCCATATGGGAATCCCGGTAAGGAGTGCAGCAAGTATCTTCCTTTTTGTACCATTGGAGGGGTGACACCAAAATGGCTGACAGTCATTCTGGTGTCACCCACTCTGAAAAGTCGGGCACTCAGTCATGGACCGAGAGTTCCAGGAGAGAGGTGGGGGCCCGGCGGCACACCTTATCCCACTGGGTGAAAGTCCCCTCCTCTTTCTGCCGGCAGGTATCACCAAGATGGCCGCCCATGCGCGATGATGTCAAGGCGGGGTGTCACCCGGTATCCGGCCCAGGTGACACACAGCCTCGGGACGCCCCTGCCGTACTGCAAGGGTTGGGTGCTGGTTTTGTCTAGGGGATGCAAATAAAGCAGACATACTTACCTGACCCTGTGCCCCACAATGGTCAGCACTCGCCCCTCTCCCCCTCTGCTCAGGCACTCAGGCACATGCGCGCAGGAGTTCCTTCACCTTGGCATGCTGGGTCTGTGTGCGGAGCTGCACATGCTCAGCGTACAGAAAACATTTTTTTGCCAAATGGTAGAAAGAAATGTTTATGGCAATAGAGACTTACACATTCTCTTCGGCTATAGAAAGCCTGACGATCGCCATTTTTTTTTTTATTTGCAACCTTAATAGCAGTTTGAGGCTGGAGGCACATTGCTGTGGTGTGCTATGGCATGTGCACTAATGTGACAGTGCAATATATTTGAATGGGCTCCCTATTGCACCTATACACACTATTAAAGAAGAATTCTGGGCAAATATAGAAATTAGGTAGCCCCACTGCAAGGGTTTAGTGTTCATTTTTGTCTAGGGGCTGGAATAAAGCAGAATTACCTGATCCTTGGTCTCACTGGTCTCCTCTGGGCTGCTAGATCGGTCCCCGCAGCCTCTTCTCACCCTTCGCTTTGGTGGTCTAAGGTCCATTGACCTGCATTAGACTATGGAGGGATATTCCATAGCTTGGGCAGAGGGGTAGAGAGGTGAGTGCTGACCACCGTGGAAGTTTGGATCAGGTGAATACATCAGCTTTATTTTAGTCCTCTAGACAAAACAACAACTTAAAGAAGAAAGCCGGGCACAAATTGAATTAACCCGTGCAGTGCGGCTACCCCCTGCAGTGGAAGGGTCAACTGCTCATTTTTGCCTAGGGTCAAAATCAGGGGCGTAGTTAGAAATCACAGGGCCCCAAAATTTTGTATGGGGCCCCGTGATTTCTAGTTACGCCCCTTGCAGAGCTCACCTGAGATCCCACACAGCCAACCTGAGAGTGACTCTGCAGAGCCCACCATAGACTCACGCCCCTGCACACCTCTTACCTGTCAGCCCCCGATCCACTGTCAGCCTTCTCCACTGCTGGGCCCCGCCTCCTCCTCAGTCACCGCCTCCTCCTCCACTGCCGCCGAGCCCAGCCCCTCCTCCACTGCTGCCGGGCCTGGCCTCTTCCTCCACTGCTGCCTGGCACGCCTCCTCCTCTTCTGCTGCCACTGCTGGGCCCCGGCCTGCTCCTCCGCTGCTGGCTGTCACTGACTTAGCAGCGGCTGTGAGGAGGAACGCACAGCTGCACAGATCACTGACATGTTATCAGTGATCTGGACAGTGTCGCGTTCCTCCTCACAGCCGCCAGTGACAGCCAGCAGCCTGCGAAGGCATCAGGGGGACCCTTTTGTTCCATGTCCTGTCCGTGCCCCCTGTACCCCAGGCAACATAGCGGCGGCCTGGGTCGCTATGGCGATAGTTCCGCCACTGGTCAAAAATAACAAAGATATGCTCATCCGATCCTCAGAGAT